CTGGTCTTAAAAACGAAATGTTTCCCTTCTTTTTCGTTGCTTTTTTGCTTCTTGCCACACCCTCGTATCATAATTTAATAGTCTTAATTCCGTTTTCCCACTGATAAAATAACTCAGCCCTCGCCCGGTAATTCTGTTACGATTTACAGGCGGGCTTACAATAAATTTGTCCCCTCAAAAGAGAGTGAGGGAAGGGCCGGCGGCTGGGAGAGAATGGAGAGAAAGAGAGAAGGAAAATAGGGAACTTATATCGTGCTAATGCCCGCGCTTTTCTCTCTCAGTCTCTCTTTCTCTTTTTCTCTGTCTCTCTCTGTCGTTCTGTCCCTTTCGCTCACCTTCGTGCGGGCTACAGCTACAAAGTTGTGTCGTAAAACCGCGATGCCAGATATGGAGTGGAATAGCCTCGCGGGGCTTTATGATGTTTTATTAAGAGGTGGGATTACCACAACACCCTTTATTCGTTTCCATTTATTCCCCGGCTCCGGTCCCCGCCAGTCCCCGCTGGCGGCGCGCTATCAGTGAGCACGGCCGGTACACAATCACGACACACTCTCGCGTGACCCCGCCGCCGGCGCCGCTGTCGGGTGCGAGTCAGTCCGCGGCGGCTGGATTAGATTCGCCAATCAGTGCACCGGGCGCCGCGCGCGCTGACTTGCGGACGTGCTCGGCGTGCTCGGTGAGCTTAGCGCACTTCTCAGGGGAAGGGGAGGACTTCTCCCCATCCACCACACTCACCTCCTCCTCCACGCGCTTCTCACGCGCACCCAGTTCGCCTCGACCCCGACCAACCAGCCTTATCCATTTTCACAAATTCCCAATCCGAGTCACTTTGTCTCCCACCCCTGTGCACCCCGCACCGCTTCTCTCCTGCTCGGTGTGCTGCGTGGGCGCCAGGCGCTGCCAGGGGGGCTGCCCGGTCATTCGTCTTTCCCGCCATCATTCTGGAAAGACCATAAAATTTTGCCGCCATTTCCACGGCGCTGCGCTGCGCCCGCACGCCGCGACGGTGTGCTGGGCTGGGTGGGCCACACAGCGCTCGCCGCCGCGCCCACACCCTTCTGGCTTTTGCCTTTTCGTATAAGTTAGTACGGGGGAAAAGGAATGGGGCCTCGGAGGCCATGACGGAGTGCGTAGGGCGGACCGGGGGCGGGCCAGGGGCGGAGCGGGGGCGGGCCGGCTGCTGACTCGATCCGAATCATTATTATGTGCACGGCCACGCCTCGGCCTCGCCACGGCCGCTGCCCCGCTGCCTGCTGCCTCGGCCAGCATTGGGTGTCGGAATTAATCCTGCGGGGCAGCGGGACCAGCAGGACGGCCTGGCCCGGTCGGGGAGGGCTGGAAAGGGAGCGCCAAAGCTGTGCGAGTCAGCGGATCTACTGCTGCTACTGCCCTCGCGGCTGACCCCTCCTCGCCCCGCCCCGCCTGGCCGGGGCCCAAGTCTGCAGGGCGATAGCGGCGACCGCCGCCGCCCCATCTGCCCCATCTGCATCCACAGCAGCACAGCGGGCGACAGCAGCCCGGGGGGTA